ATGCTGAATTTTTGATGTAATAAATTCAGGTCATGCTGAAATTTCTGTTAAAAAAAACCCAGTACAACTTCTGTTAAAAAAAAATGGGTAGAATTTCTGTTCGGGAATCAGTAAAATTTCTGGCCAAAAATCGGTAGAATTTCCATTCAAGAATCGGTAGGATTTCTGTACAAAAAATGGGTGGAATTTTTGTTCAAAAATTTCTGGCCAAAAATCAGTCGAATTTCTATTAAGAAATTAGTAGAATTTCTCTCCAAAATTCGTTAGAATTCCCGTTCAAACGCCGGTAAAATTTCTGTCCCTGAATCATTAAAATTTCTGTCCAAAAATCGGTAGAATTTCCGTTCAAGAATCGGTAGGATTTCTGTACAAAAAATGGGTGGAATTTTTGTTCAAAAATTTCTGGCCAAAAATCAGTCGAATTTCTATTAAGAAATTAGTAGAATTTCTCTCCAAAATTCGTTAGAATTTCCATTCAAACATTGGTAAAAATTCTGTCCCTGAAGCATTAAAATTTCTGTCAAAAAATCGTTAGAATTTCTGTTTCATGTTAGTTTATGTCTTTATCTCCCGAATTTGGGGCAGTTTTGCCACATTTAGCACCTGAGACATTCTGTGGGAACCCAAAAATCGGTAGAATTTCCATTCAAGAATCGGTAGGATTTCTGTACAAAAAATGGGTGGAATTTTTGTTCAAAAATTTCTGGCCAAAAATCAGTCGAATTTCTATTAAGAAATTAGTAGAATTTCTCTCCAAAATTCGTTAGAATTCCCGTTCAAACGCCGGTAAAATTTCTGTCCCTGAATCATTAAAATTTCTGTCCAAAAATCGGTAGAATTTCCGTTCAAGAATCGGTAGGATTTCTGTACAAAAAATGGGTGGAATTTTTGTTCAAAAATTTCTGGCCAAAAATCAGTCGAATTTCTATTAAGAAATTAGTAGAATTTCTCTCCAAAATTCGTTAGAATTTCCATTCAAACATCGGTAAAAATTCTGTCCCCGAAGCATTAAAATTTCTTTCCAAAAATCGTTAGAATTTCTGTTTCACGTTTGTTTATGACTTTATCTCCTGAATTTGGGGCAGTTTTGCCACATTTAGCACCTGAGAAATTCTGTGGGAACCCGAGTGACCCAAAACCGGGTGAATTCTCCCCAAGGGGGCGGGACTTACGGGGCACGTAGGGCGGGAAGTTCAGCTCCTGGTTCCTGCAGCCGCCGACGGAGCCGTGGACGAAGCTGGAGGGTTCGTTCATGTCCTGGAAACACCGAGCGAAAAAAACCCACATCAAACAAAATTCTCTTAAATTTGGCCAATTTCTTCCTTTTCGCCTCTTTAATTTTCTTTCTCAATGGGTCGAATGTGAAGGAAATGGGAAAAAACTCAAATTTTTCAGACATTCTGCATTTTGTTTTTTTTTTTAAGCAGCGAAAATTTAAGATGTAAATTGTAATTTAATTAAATTTTTAATTGAAGACACAAATTGTAATTGAATTAAATTTTTAATTGAAGACATAAATTGTAATTGAATTAAATTTTTCATTGAGGCAGTAAATTGTAATTGAGTTAAAATTTTAGTTTTAGATGAAAATTTCAATTGAGTTAAATTTTTAGTTAGAGAGGTAAATTTTAATGGAATTTAATTTTTAAATTGAAGAGGTAAATTTTGCAGAGGAGCAATTCCCTTCCTGGGAAGATTTGGAATTTCTCATTTCCCGGAGGACAAAGTGTCAAATTCACAAAGATTAAATTCAGGTTTTAAGAACTTTCTTTTTTTAGGGGTCATTTTTTTTCCAAAAAAAAGGGACTTTTTTTTTCCCCAAAAGATTTTTCCTCTGCGTAAAATGGAAATCGAGGCAGAAAATCCAGCGAGAATTATGCAAATTGCTAAAAATCTCAGATAATTTCCCGGTGATGGCTCCTGTCCTCTGGTTGCCGCTGGAAATCAAAGGTAAAATAGGGGGAAAAAACTAAGTATTTTACTGGATTTCTCCTTTTTTGGGAAGGTTTCTGTAGAAATAGAGATCTGAGGAATTAACATTTTTATTTAACAGGCAAAATCAAATGAGAAATTGTTGAGGAGAAGGATTTTTTTTTCAATTTTAGTGAATTATTCATGAGATTCAGCGTTAAATAGCATTAAATATTTAGCGTTCTCATCCCTGGGGGCAATTTTGGGGTTAAAAAGAGGCAGAAAAGTGAAAAAAAAAATAAAAATTTCAGACTCACGATCCAGAGGCCGTCGAATTTGAGGCTGCGGGAGGCGTTTTGGGGGTTGTTGTAGACCTCGGCGATCTCTCTCGCCCACCACTCGATGGTGGAATTTCGGAAGAAATCGGGAAAAGCTGCATAAGCGCGATAGAGCTGGGAAAAATAGGAGGAAAAAAATGAAGTAAAGGATGAAAACGGGACCCAAAAATTGCTAAAAAGGTGGAATTTGTTGCTAATTCCACCAATAATTTGGAAACTTGTTCTTAATTTCCCCATAATTTGAAATTTCGTTCTTAGTTCCACCAATATTTGGGAATTTCGTTCTTAATTCTGCCAATAATTTGGAATTATGTTCTTATTTTCACGAATAATTTGGAATTAAGTTCTTAGTTCCACCAATATTTGGGAATTTCGTTCTTAATTCTGCCAATAATTTGGAATTATGTTCTTATTTTCACGAATAATTTGGAATTAAGTTCTTAGTTCCACCAATATTTGGGAATTTCGTTCTTAATTCTGCCAATAATTTGGAATTATGTTCTTGTTTTCACCAATATTTGGGAATTTTGTTCTTAGTTCCACCAATATTTTGGAATTTCATTCTTAATTCCATCAATAATTTGAAATTACGTTTTGGAATGTTGTTCTTAATTCCACCAATAACTTGAAAATTTATTCTTCATTCCACCGATAATTCGGATTTTTTTCTTAATTCCATCAATAATTTGGCATTTTGTTCTTAATTCCACCAATAATTTGGAATTTTGGTCTTATTTCCACCAACGGTTTGGAACTTTTTCTGAATTCCAAGTGGGAATTTGGCCAGCAGGAGTAACCCCATGGACCAGTAGAAGTTGGGGGGTGACCTACTGGAGAGCAGCTCCATGGAGAGGGACCTGGGAGTCCGGTGGGCACCAGGTTGCCCAGGAGCCACCAATGGGTCCTTGTGGCCAAGAAGGCCAATGGTCTCCTGGGATGACCAGTGGGTGGAGGGAGGTTCATCCTCCCCCTCTGCTCTGCCCTGGGGAGCCCCATCTGTAGACTGGGACCAGTTCTGGGCTCCCCAGTTCCAGAAGGACAAGGAACTGGTGGAGAGGGTCCAGCAGAAGCTACAGAGATGATGAGGGGAGGAGAACATCTCTCTGGTGAGGAAAAGCTGAGGGACTTGGGGCTTTTTGGTCTGGAGAAGAGAAGGCTGAGGGGGAAGATCTCATCAAGGGTGGGATCTCATGGATGGTGGGGGTCAGGAGGATGGGGCTGGTCTTTTTCAAGAGGGAACAACCATAAGAAGTTCCACCTCAACATGAGGAGGAACTTCTTGGCTTGGAAGGTGGCAGAGCCCTGGCAGAGGCTGCCCAGGGAGGTGGTGGGGTCTCCTTCTCTGGAGACATTCAAACCCCACCTGGAAGGGACCCTGTGGGACCTGCTCTGGGTGGGACCTGCTTGGAGGAGATGATCTCCAGAAGGTCCCTTCCAACCCCATGGGATTCTGGGATTGGGGAGACATTTACCTCCACTTGGGTGTCCCAGTCCAGGGAGTCGTTGACCACCACGTTGGGAAGGTCTGGCCAGACCTGGAGAAGAAGGGGATGATCAAATAATCACATGAAAATGGGGTTAAAAAAAAGGAGTATTGATTAAAAACAGGAGTATTGACTTAAAAAATTGAATTTTGATTTAAAAAAACAGAGTCTGGATTAAAAAACACAAATATCGCTTTACAAAACTGAGTATTGATTAAAAACATGAAGTGTTGGGTTAAACAATGGAGTATGGATTTTAAAACTGGAGTATTAATGAAAAAAAAACGCAGTCTTGATTAAAAAACAGGGTATTGATTTAAAAACCGGAGTGTTGATTTTTAAAATGGAGCGTGGATTTGAAAAATGGAATGTTGATTTTTAAAAAATTGAGTATTGATTGGAAAACCCGGTATTAATTAAAAAATGAAGTGTTGATTAAAATATGGAGTATTGATTTAAAAATGGAATATTGATTTTAAAAATGGAGTAGTGATAAAAATACAGAGTATTGATTAAAAGAACGATTATTGTTTAAAAAAAAAAGAGTAATGATTTTAAAAACGAACCACTGAATTTTAAAAAGGAGCACAGATTTAAAAAACAGAGAATTTATTAGAAATAGGGAGTACTGATTTTAAAAACGTTTTTTTTTTAAATGGAATATTGTTTTAAAAAATAAAGTGCTGATAAAAAAATCAGGTGCTGATTTTTAAAATGGGGTAATGATTTTAAAAATTGAGGCTGGATTTGGGGTAAAATAAGTGTTTTTTTGGAAGGAAGGGCACCTTGGCGAAGATGATGTCGCTGCTGTTGGGCCACTTGATGAAGACGTCCTTCTCCACCCCCCTGGTGAATGCTGGGTAATTGGTCTCATTTCCCGAAATGGCCGGATCCTTCAAATTCAAGAAAAGCAGGAATTTAGGGTGAAATTCCAGAAAATTCCAGAAAATTCCAGAAAATTCCAGAGAAGACCAATTTTTAGGCCCCAAAAAATGAGTGCAGAAAATGCTCTGGGGAATTTCAACCCAAAATTTCGACCCACCAGGATGAGGCCGAACCTCATTCCTTCTCCTTGGGTTTTATCGATGAGAGCGGGCAATCCCGAAAAACGGGGATTTTGGGTGAAATTCAAGAAAATTCGAGAAAACACCCATTTTTAGACACAAAAAAACGAGGGTGGAAAATGCTGCTTAAACGCGATGTCCTGATTTTGGGGCATTTCAACCCAAAGTTCTGACTCACCAGGATGAGGACGAACCTCATTCCTTCTCCTCGGATTTTATCGATGAGGGCGGGCAACCCCGAAAAACGGGGATTTAGGGTGAAATCCAACTGCCGTTCCATGTAGTCGATATCCGCGTACTGGACGTCCTGAAATTCATCCCAAAAAATTCTCAGTTACGGATTTTATCCGGTTATTTCCCAATTTACATCATCCCCCAGCAAATTCCTCACCCCTCCGCAAAATAAGGCTGATTCCCAGCTTTTCTTTTAAAATTTAAAATTTAAGCTTTGCTGCTTAAAGCTCCGGCAAAAAAAGCGCTTCCACAAAAAAAAAAAAAAAAAGGCTGATATTCAGCTTTTTTTCCCACCAGATTTATTGTGAAGGGAAAAATTAAAATGCAAAAAAACCCACAAAAAAACAAAAAACACAAACCCTGGATTTTTTGTATAAATTTATGTTGAAAAATGTGTTGCCGGGACACGCCCCCTGGAAGCGAGGGGATTGGCTGCTCCCGAAGGGAAATAATTGGATGGTGATTCCCTGCAAAATGAAATTTTCCCCCAAATTTTGGTAGAATTTCATCAGTTCCAAAGATTTTGTGATTTTTTTCCAACAGCCAAAAAAGCGGCGTTTTCACAGTTTAATGGAAATAAAACTCCTTTTCTTGGTTTTGACCCATAAAGGGCGGGGGGAAAAGTTGAATTATGGGGTTAATGGGTTGCTTTGATGTTTTGAAATTAAAAAATTAAGTGTCACGAGGTTTGACGGGTCTCGACGTACGTAGGGGATTTGGGCGGCTTTCATGTCTTCCACCAATTTGGCGATTTCGGTGTCGTTTTCGTAGCCGTAGCGGCACAACTGGAAGCCCAGAGCCCAGTAGGGCGGCATCACCGGGCGCCCCACCAGCTGAAAGAGGGAAAAGAGAGGAAAAAGGAACGGTCACAGAGGAAAATCACCGAAAATCAACATCATTGAAAGTCAAAATTACAGAAAAATAAAATTACTGAAAAAAAAACCTGCCGAAAATCAAAGTTCCTGAAAACAAAAATGACTGAAAAATCAAATTATTGAAGATCAAAGTTATTGCAAATCAAAATTACTGAAAATCAAAATTATCGGAAATTAAATTTACTGAAAAACAGAATTATTGACAATCGAAATGACTGAAAAATAAAATTATCGACAATCAAAATTACTGAAAAATAAAATTATTGAAAACCAAAATTACCGAAAGATTGTTGAAAAGTAAAATTACTGAAAATCAAAATTACTGAGTCAAAATTACTAAAAAATAAAATTATTGACAATAAAAATTATAGAAAGTCGAATTAATAAAAATTAAAATGATAGAAAATCAAAATTACTGACAATCAAAATGACTGAAAATTAAAATTACTGAAAGTCAAAATTGCTGGAAATTAAAATTGCTGAAAAATAAAATAATTTAAACCAAAATTACTCAAAAATCAGAATTGCTGCAAATTAAAATTACTGAGAATTAAAATGACTGAGAATTGAAATTGCTGAGAATTAAAATTATGGAAAATCAAAATCAGTGAAAAAATAAAATTATTTAGAGTCAAAATTATCGAAAACAAAACCAACTGAAAATTAAAGTTACGAAAGTGAAAATGACTGAACATTAAAATTCTTGAAAATCAAAACCACCCGCCAAAAATTAAAATAATTTTTTTTAAAAAAAGACAAATGGACCCAAACCACCCCAAACCCCACCCCCCCCCGCCCCCGAGCGGTGACGTCACCCCGGGAGGTCCCTACCGCCGTGTACTGCTCCACCACCAGCTCCGGCGTGGGGCCCAGGACCACGTAGAAGTCCAAGACGCCCCCCGTGGTGCGGTAGGTGAGGGCGGGGGTGGGCTGGAAGGTCACATCTGGAAAAAGATGGGGGTGAAAATTGGGCAAAAAACCACACAAATCGGGCAAAAACTGAAAAAAAAAGTGAAAGACGTGGAGAAAGACGTGGAATTTGGATGGTTTTTGGTTTTTTTTTAACCTGGGGTTGGGAGGGACCTTCTGGAGATCATCTCCTCCAACCTCTCCCCCCACCCAGAGCAGGTCCCACCCAAGGTGGGGGTTGAAGGTCTCCAGAGAAGGAGGCCCCACCCCCTCTGGTGGCCTCTTCCACCCTCATGGTCAAGAGGTTCCTCCTCACCTTGAGGTGGAACCTCCCGTGTCCCAGTTTGTCCCCGTTGCCCCTTGTCCCACCACTGGGCACCACTGGGAAGAGGCTGGTCCCATCTTCTTGACACCCCCACCTTTGAGGGACCCCCCTTGGCCTTCACTTCCAGGTCCCTCAGCCCAGAGAAGCTCCAGTCCCTCATCATCCTCACAGCTGGGCCCTCTCCAGTAGCTCCCAGTTCTTCTGGAACTGGGGGGCCCAGAACTGGTCCCAGTCTCCAGATGGGACCTCCCCAGGGCAGGATGAACCTCCCTCCACCTGCTGCTCACCCCAGGAGACCATCGGCCTTCTTGGCCACAAGGCCAACATCTCTGGCCCATGGGCAACCTGGTGCCCACCAGGACTCCCAGGTCCCTCTCCATGGAGCTGCTCTCCAGTAGGTCACCCCCCAACCTCTACTGGTCCATGGGGTTACTCCTACTGGCCACCTCAGGAGACCATCAACCTTCTTGGCCACTAGGGCTCTTTGCTGGCCCATGGGCAACTCATTGGCCACCAGGACTCCCAGGTCCTTTTCTTCAGAGCTGCTCTCCAGTAGGTCACCCCCAACCTCTACAGGTCACCCCCAACCTCTCCTGCTCCATGAAGTTATTCCTACTGGCCACCTCAGGAGACCATCAGCCTTCCTGAAGGCCACAAGGCCAACATCTCTGGCCCATGGTCACCCTGTCATCCACCAGGACTTACAGATCCTTCTCCTCAGAGCTGCTCCCCAGCAGGTCACCCCCAACTTCTCTTGATCCATGGGGTGGTTCCTCCCCAGATGCAGGACCCTACACTTGGCCTTGGTGGAACTTCATGATCTTCTTCTCCCCCCAAACTCTCCAGGTCTCTCTGGATGGTGGCCCAACCTCCTCAAACCCCCCCTCTTCCACTTTGGTGTCACCAGCGAAGGTTCTGAAGGTCCCCTCCCCCCCCTCCTCCAGGTGGCTGCTGGAAGAGGAGCAGGTACTGACCCATGGCGTTGCTGTTGAGCAGGAGAACCCCGTGGGCGTTGCCGTCCTCCTCCAGCCCCATGTAGAAGGGTTGGAAACCGTAGGAATTCAGCTTGTACTGCAAAAAAAAACATCGATATTTTGGGTTAGAACCACACCATGAACCTTCACGGGTCGGAACCCACCACTTAATTACCCCTTATCGTTAACGCGCTTAATGAGCGATGAGACACACCACCCTACGGTGACGTGGATTGTCACCTCTTGAAGGTCCAAGGCTTAAACGTTGACCAGAAGCAACGATTTGAGCTCAAATTTTGGGGTCAATCGTTTTCTTCGTCCACCAGCTTGAGGCATCATGGAATTATGGGATGGGTTTGGGTGGGAAGGGACCTTAAAGACCATCCAGTTCCATCCAGGGCAACCCCTTCCCACCAGCCCAGGTTGCTCCAACCTGGCCACCAACCCCTCCAGGGATGGGGCGGCCAATCCCAAGATCAAGAGTCCCTCCCCATCTCTCTTTGAGACCTTTAGGGTCTGGAAGGGCCTCAAAGGTCTCCCTGGAACCTTCTCTTCTCCAGGATGAACCTTCTCCAGCTTCACGTTGAGCCACCACCCCCCTCAAGTCCTTCTCCTGGGGGCTGTTCTCCATCCCTTCCATGAGATCATGGAATGATGGGATGGGTTGGGTGGGAAGGGACCTTAAAGACCATCCAGGGCCGTCTCTTCCCACCAGACCAGGTTGCCCCAAGCTCCATCCAACCTTGGCCTTGAACCCCTCCAGGGATGGAGCAGCCACAGCTTCTCTGGGCAACCTGGGCCACCCTCAGAGTGAAGAACTTCTTCCCAACATCATGGAATCATGGAATTGGGTGGGAAGGGACCTTAAAGACCATCCTGGGGTGGGGACATCCAGGGCCACCTCCTCCCACCAGCCCGGGTTGCCCCACACCCCGTCCAACCTGGTCTTGAACCTCTCAAGGAACGGGGTCACCACCAGGTTGGAGGAACTTCTCCAGATGTTGCCCTCAACCTCTCAAGGAATGGGGTCTCCACCAGGTTGGAGGAACTTCTTCCTCAACCAGGTTCCTCCATGGCCAATCAAGGGTGGTTGCTTGGAAATTTGGAGGGGAAAAAAGAGAAAAATGGGGATTTTTGACCCAACTTACCCCAGGAGGTTGGTCGCGGGCGAACATGCCCCAGGTGTGCCAGCTCAGGTTGTGGTGGAACGTGGGGTGCTCCGACTCCCCAAATCCGTACAAATATTGGGAGGGCAAACGGGTGGAGATCTGGAGGAACATGTCGCTGAAGGTGAAAGTCGGGAGCTGCGAATCCCAGCTGAAAAAGAGGGAAAACGGGACAAAAACGGCACCAGTTTCAGCACTGGGAGCGACTGGGTGGGGTCAGGTTTTTAGACCCACTCTTTTTCCTCTAAAAATTTCTCTTTTTTTTTGGCCAAAGTTGGGGTAAAACTGGCAGGGGTAGGAAGAAAATGAAACAATTGATGAACATTCAAATGAGTGAAAATCAAAATTACTAAAAATTATAATTACTGACAACGAAAATTATTGAAAATAAAAAATACCGAGAATCAAAATTACTGAGAATTGACATTACTTAAAATCAAAATGACTGAAAATCAAAATGACTGAAAAATAACGTTATTGAAAATCAAAATTGCTGAGAACTAAAATTATCAAAAATCAAAATTATTGAAAATCAAAATTACTGAAAAATAAAATTGTTGAAAATCAAAATTCATGAAAATCGAAATTACTGAAAATCAACATGAGTGAGAATCAAAAATTATTGAAAATAAAAATTACTGAAAAAGAAAATTGTTGAAAATAAAATTATTGAAAATAAAAATTACTGAGAATTGAAATTACTGAGAATTGAAATTACTGAAACATTAAGTTATTGGAAATCAAATTGCTGAAAGAGAAATTAGCCCTGAATGGAACGAAACAAAACGAAATTAAATAAACCGACTACATTAAATGATATATAAATATAAAAGAAAAATTGAATTAATGAACCAAAATGAAAAAAATTAAATTAAAAAGTTGAATTTCAGAAATGAAATGAAATGGAATTAAAATGAAATGAAATGAAATGAGGAGATGAAATTAAACTATTACATTAGATTATATATGAACAAAAAAGAAAAATTGAATCAACAAACCGAAATGAAAAATTGAAAAGTTGAATTTCAGAAATGAAATTAAATTTAGTGAAGTTAAAGGATTACATCGAATTCTATATGAATATAAAAGACAAAAATCGAATTAACAAACCGAAAAGAAAAAACCAAAACCAAATGATGAAGAATTGGAGGAAAAGCTGGAATTTTGGGTTGAGAGACGACGTTTCTTACATGACGGTCCCGGTGCTGCGACGACGGATCTGGACCCCGAAGGGCCGGGTCTGGACCCCGACCTCGTAGAGACGACCCTGGGCCGAGCCCTCGGGGGCCGGGGGGAGGGTCAGGGGCACCGGCACCTCGTACCTCGGTTTGGCGTAATCGTAAATCTGACGGAGAAAATTCATTAATTGGGGCGGAGGTGGAATCGGCATCAATTAGCGTAATTTTAAAAAAAAATTGGTAAAAATAGAAGAAAACCACTTTTTTTGCGTGTTCCAGTTGAGTGACAGAGAGAGGAGAAGACCCTGAGTTTTCAAATTAAAGAGAATTTTTCAATTATTTCTCACCAGAAACACTAAAAAATCAGAATTACTGAAAATTCACCGGTAAATCTGCCTAGAGAAGCGTTTTCCCGTAAAAAATCTGCTTATTTCTTTCCGAAATCCCATCCTGAATATTTGGGGTGGGAAAGGAAGGTTTTGTCATGGAGAAAACATAACAATTATTGAGAATCAAAATTATTGAAAATCAAAATTATTGAAAATCAAAATTGCTGAGAATTAAAATCGCTGAAAATCAAAATTACTGAGAATTAAAATTGCTGAAAAATAAAATTATTAAATATTAAAATTACTGAAAATTAAAATTACTGAAAACCAAAGTTACTGAAAAGAAAAATCACTGAGAAATAACATTACTGAAATATAGAATTAGTGAAAATCAAAATTAATGAAAATCAAAATTAATGAAAATCAAAATTACCGGGGTGTTAAAATTACCGAAAATTAAAATTACCAAAAATCATAAATAAGATATATTGATTTAAGAAGACTTTTATGGACAGGAAAATTGATTTCACCTTTTTGATGGAATTTTTAACTAATTTAAGAGGTTTTTTTCTCCAAGTTTTCTATATTTTTTTAAGTTTTCTGTATCTTATAAGTTGATTTCACCTTTTCGATGGAATTTTTAACCAAAATTAAGAGGTTTTTCTCCAGTTTTTTTGTATTTCAGGAGTCAGGACGTGTTGATTTAAGACTGAGAGCAACAATTTGGTGTCAAAATGGGATTTTTGGCGGAGGGAGCGTTATCCCCCCAAATTGAGAAAATTTCTCCCAGCAAATTCTGAAATTTCGAGGGGGGGGGAAGGACCCCAAATTCTTACCTTAAACTGCAGCAAATGGTCGTTGTGATACTTCACCTCCAGGCGGAGGGTGCTGATGGGCGTCATGGACTTGGGGGTAGATTTGGGGGCGTTTCGGGTGTTTTGGAGGGTGAGGTTGGCGCTGACCCCCTGGGACGTGTAGGTGACGTCACCGACGGAGTAGGGGTTTTCGGAGCCGTCGTAGTAGCAGAAGGGGACGTGCGCCTCCGAGGTGTCCTCCTGCCACGCAAACATTTCAGCTTCGTTATCGCTATTAATCATTGTTTTTAATTAATATATTAAATTAATTTAAATTAAATTATTTTTTATTAATATATTATTTTTTAGAATTATTTTAAAATCATTTTTATCGTTTCTTTGCAGCAAGAATTTAAAATTGTTCGCAAAAAGACCTGGAAAAAAAAAATTGGGTTAAAAAAGTCGAGGAAAAAAACCAGAGGAAAAAAACTGGGAAAAATCAAATCTGGGAAAAAAAACCTGGGAAAAAGCTCTAGGAAAAAAAAAAAATGTGGAAAAAAACCCAAACCAACAGGGAAAAGATCAGGGAAAAAAGAGCTGAGAAAAAAATCCAATCTGGGAAAAAAACTGGGGGAAAAGATTCTTGAAAAGATCTGGAAAAAAATGGGGGGAAAAAAGAGAGAAAGAAGATCTGGGTAAAAATCTTTTTTTTTTTAACTGGGTAACAAGTCCTTGTGGAATTTTGGGAATTTTATCCAAAATTTCATGCTGTTTTGAAACCATAAAGAAGCGGCCGAACTCACTCGACCTCTAGACTGTTCTTAAATAGAATTCATTATTATTATTATTTAGCGGTGAAAATTCGAAATTTCCTTTTTTTTTTAAAGGAGATAACAAATCTATAAATTATACAGTGTATATATAAATATATTTATAAATTATTAAAAATTATAAAAAATAGATACATAAATAATAATAAACAAGACAAACCAATTTATTTTATAAATAAAAGAGGATTATTTGCTACCGGCTTTCCCAAAATACCAGCTTTTCCCTCGATTTTTCCCTTGATTTGAAGAGACC